AACTTTCGGATAAGGCATGTTTGCGCCAATGGTCACCATTTCACGTGTAGTATCTTCAGCTTTCGACTTTCCCATTGTTAATGAATCACCCTGTATACATGGCGAATCGGGAGAACCGGGTCAAACTCCAGAAGTGGATTCTATTCATCAAAATAATAAGAAAAACAAATGTTGTTACGCGTTTTATTTGTTTTCAACGGCATGATGTACATTTCAATAAAAGAACAATTTACTGATATTCTATTCATCATAGTGTTCTTTGATTAAAAACACTTCCTGTTTCATTTAGGAAAGGCGTCTGTAGCTTTCCTAGCTGCTGCATATCTTTTTTGCAGTATTGATACGTCGAATTAGTTCCTCCCCCTTCATTTTTGAACCAGCCCCAGTAAACAGTAATCTAGTGCTGTGAGGTCTGGAAATCTTGGAGGCCAACTAATAGAACCATTGCGGCCAAACTAACGCCCTGGAAACCTTGTTTCAAATGTAGCTTGACTGGACAAGGTATGGGCAGTAGCTCTATTGTGATGATAGTACATTCGCATTCTCATATTTATAGGAACATTTTCTAGTAGTACTTGTGATTCATTTTGTAAAAAATTTAAGTAGTGGTCTTAGTGGTCTCCTGTGAGTCGATTATCCAAAATGAAACGGCCAATTAAATAACTGTCGATCATGCGCATACCACAACCTATGCTGAAAAGTACTTTCGAGTGTTAAGTGAGGATTTTCGTTTGACCATACAAGAGAGTTCCGATTATTCCGTCAAGCGTAAATTTGCTGCCGTAAATAGTATGCAGAATACAGCAAGATGATTATTATTCGACAAAACTTGATACGCTGACAATTAGCATAATCTTGCAATTGTAGGTGTTGTACACATGCTCATGGAGGGTTTTTATTACTCTTTTTTTGTGCAATGTCCAATTGAGCAGCAATTCTTCTTATGAGCTGGAAGTCACTTCATCTTCACTAGACCCAAACTATTTTTTACTTCTTCTAAACCTTGTTGATAGGCTCGTTCAGATGTATACTAGCTCCGGGAAGCTTTCCTCTTTATCAGGACATATGTGATGTGGAGATCGTCGACGATATTTTTCAACAGCATTAGCAATCCCAATACAAAAGCTATAAACAAACACCATATTTGTATACTCTAAAGTCTAAAGAATGAGTTCTTGGCATTTTGTAACATTGATCGTACAAACGTGTAATCAAATGTTAAACTATTGCAACATAAAATCACACTAACAAATATCCTACTTTTGAACTTGGAACATGACATACTCTGATTTCAAATTTTTAAAATTTATAATCATGCTATAACTTGAAAACAAATGAAAATCGCATAACTTTTAATTTTTTTTATTATTATTTTGATGGTAGAATCCATTCCTGGAGTTTGGTGCGATCCTCCCGACTAACTCTGTACATAGTATCAAAGTTTACAGAATAAATATTCTGTAAACTGTAGTTTACAGAATAAATATTCTGTAAACTTTGATAGTATGTCCCATATTGAATTGCATAAAGTAATAGGTGATTTCATGATAATGTAATTTAGCTAAACCTTAGTCCAAAAGTTGATAGTAATCGAGTTACAGGGTGTTAAAATCAAAACTTTGTTTCAATTTTTTTAAATAACCGTCGAAGTAATTGATGTATTTAAACGAAATTTGGTATCCAGGAGTTTTTTGACATGAGAAATCTATATTTCGTAATAATTTTGGCATACATTGTAGAGGGTGCTACTTACGCCGCTTCTTTGAACTTTTAAAGTTCACAAAATTTTTACCACACACTATCTTATTTTCTGATAGCAACATCTGTTTTTCTTCTTCTTTTTGATACTTTAAGCGGGTGCGAAAAAAGTTTCGTTATGTTAGCAAATATCCCAGGTTTCTTTAAACTAGTTAATTTTTCGAATTTGAAAACAAAATGTAAACTTTTTCATTTTCCAAACTTAATTATTTAATTTACGTTTTGCAGTTGCTGTAATGGAGGCAATGTAAGCTATGTAGAAACTGAAACTTTTGGAACGTGTAGTAATTAAGTCATGTTTTGGAATTGCTGTATTACGCATAGACTAGCATATTAAAATGTGCTGCTTTCTCAAGCTCCAAGTCTAGTATTCCTATGCCATAAACGAATCGTGATAGCATTTTCAACTATCAAATGAGTGCAATATTTAACAAACGACCTTGGCCTCTAATGCGGCATTGTATGTCTAAATGTCTCGGGAATTGCAACCTACGGTAGCAAATGGAAGTGACTTTGTGTGTACCTACATATACAGAGTAATTTTGTTTGGAAAAATATTTTTATTTCCTTCACGTTGGCAATTAAATTAATTAATAAAAGATTAAGATTACGTTACAACACACGCTGGTGATTGATGTAATTTTTCACAAGATTATTCAACCAATCAACGAACGTATTTTCCCGAGAGTAGATGCAACGATTTGTCACAGTTCCTTGTAAACGAAACATAACGATTTAGGGATTTTTCGTTGACCGTACCAATCGTGCAATGTTGGTTGCCTGAGCTCGGCGGTCACGTGTTTTGTAATCATTAAATGAAGTCTGTCCATACTAAGAAAAACGTCACTTTGACGTCACACATTTTGCCCAAAATTTGCATGAGTTCGGCATAACTGAAAATTACTTCCTTCCACAATTAGAAGGATTATTATCAATCCGCATTTTAGAAATCAAGAAACATGTGTAGGTACCTTAAGTGCATCCATCAAATAAATATAATAAAATTAATATGCTTATTTATTTAACCATTTATCACAAAATTTTTTGAAATTATAAAAGCACTTCTTTAACAACTTAAGTATATTAATATTCATAATAAAAACTTACACATATTACAAAATATTTACACAAATTAATTGCAGTGATTTCTTTGTTAATATTTAATTTTAATTTTCAGTAACTTAATAATGATATCACTAATGTAGTTTGGTGGCCTTTTATGTTAAAAATAAAATTATATTACTCCAATACGCACACGTTTATAATATTATTATAATAACTAAAAGTTCATTGAAACATCTGAGGTCTTAAGTGCCATATTCCAAAAGAAACAACAACCATAACAGTATTGTTTCGCCTTTTTAATTAAGTTCAATGACGAATTTATGCAATTCAAGTGTTTTTTTTATGTATAAAAGTTGTGCTATAAACACGGCACGTTTTTAGTTCATTGTGATCTTGAGACGATGTTTCATAAACGTCACTTGATCTCATTTAAACTGTCCCAAAAATTGAATTATGGGTGCTTATGGGTGTGTCCATGAGATGGAACATCAAAATTGCTTTTATAACCTTGTGCTAGGACAACAAGTAACGATAAAAATAAGTGAAAACACTAGGAATGACAACATAAACTCATAAAACACAAATGCATTACAAAAATGTATTTTTATTTATAAAAAAGAATATTTGCAGTCAAAATTAAATAAAAGATTTGTAATTAAATAGTCTTAACAATTGAATTGATAGCTATCAATTAATCAGGGACTGAAATATAAATAAATGCAGATTTTGAAGACTGGTGAATTTGAAACTGAAATTTTGTAACTGATTATTTTCAAAATTCAGTTTGAGTTCTTGAGAAATGTTGAGCTTTTTTAAATTAAAATGGCATGCTCATAAAAAGTTTGTCTTCTTATGTTCTAAAAACTTTAATCAATTAATTTTATACAATTACGTCTCATATTAAAGTGTTCGTTTTATTTTCGTTTATAATGTGTGCTATACAATAAACAAATAGTAATTAGTTCCCTAAAGGCTTATGTTTTGTTGTCTTGTTTGACTATTATGTTTCGTCTGTACAACTTTTCATAAACCATATCTTCATCATTCAGGGGAGAACACTTTGACTAAATGGTGTATTTCCTTTTTTTTTAAATATATCTCGTAATTCCTTCTTAAATTGCTGGAAATCCCAGCATCTATTTACTGACTAATTTATATTTCCAGACGTGAACTTTCGAAAACGATTCATCCGATTGAAGTCCAAGAGCAGCATCTATCTTTTGTAAAAAGAAACATACATTCTTTAAATTTCATCATTAAACTTAAAAAAAAAACACATAAACATCAATTCCGACGTATTTTCAAATTAAGTTTTAGAATTATTGTTTACGCATTTTAAGAATAAAGTACCTAATAGATCTCTACTCTTTCATTTACTCCAACATGTTTATATTAATTAGCACTTTTCCTTGTCTAAGTATGCGACACATTTTATTGTAAAATAAATAATTAAAATTATCATTTGGAGTCTTACAAAAACAATATAAAAACTGAACAAAGAAAATAACTAGTACTAAAATATAACAAACAGAAATGAGTCTTATAGGGTAGTAAAATATAACCGGTGTTGGCAGCAGCTCCTTAAAAGTTAGACCCATAAAGTAATTTGAAAGAAAATATTTCTTCCAGGTTTTGAATCTAATATAGAAAAATACGTTTTTTATTTTTAGTATAAATTTATCAAACTAAAAGTGCCGTGACTAAATTTCATAACTTTTTTGCGTGATATTTCCAGTACGTGTTTGATTAAAAAAATTTAAATTTTTAACAATTTTGCAGTGAAAACTATCCATTATTTTGAACAGGTAGTAGGTATTGTTTAGGAACAAAATTATATTATGAAAACAATATCGACTACTTAGAAATATTGTGTGGAAATTTATGGTCATCAAATCCTTGAGTGTTTCATCCAAGAAATATTGTAAATTTGCCGTTACTTTTAAAATACATTGTGGTATTGTCGTATGTTTAAAGTTAATAAGTAATTGCATAATTTGAATATATGCTCTTCAATCTCTATCAATTTACTCTTGTAATTTGTTTAAATTGACTTACACTTATAGAATTGATTGAACAAGAAGCAAAAAGTGTTTTTCTTTGCAAACATATTGCAAATTGTAGAAGATTTTTAAAATGTAAAATGTAGTGTATTCTGAGAGTTTTTTTCTTTGTTTCAGATCCCAGAGTTAATGGATGGGCCATGATGTCTAGTCCCTTTCCTACCTTATTTATTTGTATATTTTATGCCTATTTCTCTAAAGTGATAGGACCAAAACTGATGGAAAATAGGAAACCATTCAATCTTAGGAATATTTTAATAGGATACAATTTTGTACAAACTATTTTTAGTGCTTGGATCTTTTATGAGGTTAGTATACAACATATATCCAGTATATTTCTAATGTATTCTTTCAATGAAACGGTATAAAATATCTGAAATAAAAGCATTAAATACGTGAGTGATACTCTGAAAGAATAATAATACTAGCATTGATAAAATACTGTTTTTTTTATCTTGTACCTCTAATAATTTTTAATTGCAGTTCCTTATGAGTGGTTGGTGGGGCAGCTACAGCTTTAGATGTCAACCTGTGGATTATTCAAACAGTCCAATGGCTTTAAGGGTAAATATTTATTTCATTATGAATCTTAAATGTGCACCTATATTTTAAACAGTTGTACAGTTGTTGTCTAGTTGATTACTTGTAACATGTAATTAACAGTTTTTCTTCAGAAGAAAAATGTTAAATATTAAATGAACCTTCATATTTTTTTATAGAAAACATGTCAAGAACTGCTGACTTCACTGTGGCGTATGCGAATAACATGATTTGTTCGTCTCTTCTGAATGGGAGACCAACTGTGCAGTGTTGTCAACATTACACAAACTCTTAAACTCTTAACTCTTTATATGATATAGGAAGAAAAAATTAAATGGATAAGCTTTTTTAGTCGATATATCTAAGAAATTGAGAAATATACTCATAAAAGTGTTTATGACCTTTTCTTCTCCATATTATGTATGTCCCCACCAATAGACTATTTCTATGTAAATGATAACACTGGTTTGATCAGGTCTGTTACTGATTTTATAAATATTGTCATGACAAACCAGATATAGATAAATATGCAGGTATTCCAAGGGTTATATTCATTATTGATATAAATCATTTGTCTTTATAAAGCCATAATTTCGAACTTTTCTGAGATTTTCCAAAAATCAAAATCATATTTTTTCATTGAGTACTCATTTTTTAATAAATTTACAAAAAAAAAGGTGTGTCAGTAATTAATATAAACATTGAAATTATCTTATATTCCACAACAACTCTGACAAAATCAGTATAGATTTGATCTACTGGTGTTGAATTTCTCTATACATATCCTCTTAATTTTTTTTTAAAGGGAAGAATTATCGACAAACATTTTTAGTAAAGTTGTTAAAATTTTAACATGATGTAAAAGAAAAATTCTGATAACGTCACAACCCTTAGGTTCTTAAATTTATTAAGATGGAATTTTGACTCAAATACTTATTTCATCATACCATAAAGATCCTCTACCAATTTACTATTGCTCTTTCGATTTTCCTGGAATGGCGTCAACCATCGGTTCTGGATCATGTACGCCGAATGTACTAGATAATCTACCTCTTGACTTTTCTGAATTTATGAGCTTACAAACGTCTGAAAACCTGGTGTAAACCACCATTTTCCACTTAAATTCACGTAATTTACGTAAGTGTTAATATATTTAAAAGCACTTAAAAAAAAATCATCCTTGAAAATAACAAATGGACACAAATATATCAACCCGTCAAATAAGGCAGACCACAGAAATGGTCCAGAAAGACCAGTAAAACTACACTATTCAATACGAGAAGATTATTATACACTACACAAAATTTAGATTATTTCACTGAAAAAATATAAAAATTCTTCGAAACAATTTTTGGCATAATACAAAATGTTCAGTTGTTTAGGGTTTTCTTTATTATGAAGTTAAAACTTACATTAAGGTTACCGGAGAATTTATTTTTAATTCAAACTTGAATCCAGTTACTATTTTTTAAATTAACATCAACATTATTATTAGTTACATTTAATGTACAGTGAGAAACTAAAATATTGCGGTCATATTGCATATAATTTTTTTGACAGTGACGTGGCAATTGTAGTTTGTCCCATGCCCTTGCAAAAATGATAATCTTCCTTGTGGAAACTGGTTTCCAAACCTTTTTCTTTAAATAATATCTCCATAAATATATATCTATGATATTAAAAAATTACACTGGACTCACAGTTTCTATAAATTAAAATTCGCCCTTTATAAACTTTTGTGAGATATTTATGATATAAAAATTTCAATTTGAATCAAAAACTATTCTTCAATGATAATTATGTTTATGCCTCTATGAATACAAAGACATATCTCATTTTTAGATGGCAAGGACATGTTGGTGGTACTACTTCTCGAAATTCACGGAGTTCTTTGATACACTGTTTTTCATTCTTAGAAAGAAAAACAGCCATGTGTCAACGCTCCATGTTATACATCATGGATGTATGCCATTTTCTGTTTGGATGGGTATGAAATTTGCTCCAGGTTTGTAAATACCTTATATCTAAAACCGTGATTGGAAATAAATATGAACATATCTTGTTATAGGTGGTCATAGTACATTCTTCTCCTTGCTCAATGCTTTTGTTCATATAATTATGTATTTCTACTATATGGTGGCTGCGATGGGTCCTCAATATCAAAAATACATATGGTGGAAGAAATACCTCACCACATTCCAAATGGTAAGTACAGATTCTCTAATTACTTGTTTTATAATAGATCTCAACTTTAAGAATTGTATCTTTTGCTAAAACCACACTTATTTGCAGATGCAGTTTGTTGCTATATTTACTCACCAGTTCCAACTCCTGTTTACTGAATGCAATTATCCAAAGGGCTTTATGGTGTGGATAGCACTACACGGAATTATGTTCTTATTCCTGTTTTCGGACTTTTACACAAATAAATATACCAGTACTAAGAAGGCTGTGAAATCTGACGCTGGTGCTTGTATGGTAAGTTAGTTAATCCACTATTTGGTTAACAAATTAAAGAGGATATTAGAACGATTTAAATAAATCCTTAATTTCAGAGACTGACAGGCTAAACAAAATAATATTTTTTTTTTTTGTATGGACCATGAACCTTTTATTTTTTTGTTTTCAAATGCAGGTTGTCAAAAATGATATTTTTAAATAATACTTTGGCCATATTTTTACAACATATAATTATATTGTATTGAAATTTGATACAGGACATTGTAGAAAATTTTTGTTTGTTTTCTGTATTGTGATTGCAAAATTTTAATTTAAGTGACTATACAGAAAATGAAAAGTAATACATAGCAGAGTGCTGCATCTACGAATCGTCAGTGCTAGTCAAGGCCTTCAATACGGCCACACTGACAGAGAGTAACTGTGATAAATCAATATTTTACTGCTGATATTGTGGAAAACAATACTCTGCTGGCTACAAGCCCTAACCATCATTGAATTATACCAACAGGGTCTAGTAAACAGCTAGAATCATTTGTCATCTCAACCCTCCAGACATACCTATGCTGGTTTCAGACTTATTCTTTCTTTTCTTTCTTCTTCCTAGTGGTTGGTCCTAATAAGCCCCATAGCACCGCAGACTAATTAGGCCTATTGTGCATCCCACTACTAGTCCTATTCAAGTAGTTTTGTCCTTTTGACAAAGTCCAAAAGCTTCCTTGCCAACACTTCTCTCAGTTTCTTGGGTTCCAAATAAGGTCTCCTAAGGAGCGCCATTCTACTACGTGCAAATCCCGGGCACTCGCCTAGGATATGCAGAGAAGTTTCATCCGCCGAGTCACATCCTCGGTAGACCGCATTGTCTACAACTTTTAGCTTAGTAGATGCTTCTTAAAGTGACAGTGTCCCGTTATGAGTCCTGTCACTCTCCTGAACTGGAGTTTGTTCAAACTCAGTAAATCGTTTGCTCTTTCCTTCAAAGAATACTCCTTGAGCTCCTTAGAATGGATATGTCCTGGCCTTGAAATCCAGTATTTCCTGTGTTTTGTATCAGTCCATTTGCCCAGAGCCTGCCTGACCACACTGGGAGATGTGCCACAAAAGGGCTCCAGGCCAATGAACTCTGTCTCGGATCCCTTCCTAGCAAGTTCGTCCGTTTTCTCGTTCCCACAAATGCCTTTGTGCCCTAGCATCCAGTCAGACTTATTAGTCCTCAATCAGTTTGACATAGGTGAGAAAATGAATGGTACTAGCTTATTAGTTACTGCTAGTATAATTCAGTGCTGGTTGGGATATGTAGTTCACAGAGTAGTTATCCCCACAACATCACTGATTAAATATTGGTTTGCCTAATTGGTGATAAGACGTGCTTTTAGACTACCTATCAAATTACAGCTATCTCCCTACTGGGGTGGCCGTTTTGAAGGCCTGGGGGTAGGAGTGACCATCGATAGATGTTGCATTATGGTTTATCTTGTGTATACTCACTCAGTGTATGTAGTTAACATTCCAAAAAGTAGCTGGATCATTTTGTGACATGTCTCATTTATAGCATGTCTAGTGGGTTCGACTGACAGTTCTAACTCTTTGTTGGGTATTGGTGATATAATTCCATGCTGGTCATGTCGCCTGCAAAGTAACAACTTCCTGCAATATCATCGGACAAAACAGATATTCTTCTGAAAATGAACCATTTTGAGAAATATATAATTAACTGTACCAAAGTCAACTAGTTCCTAACTCTAAATTCTGCTATTTTGTTATTGTCAAAACAGAAATAAATTTTTGTGCAATAAGCTGTTATGTGTTTTCAAATTTACAATTTGATAACGGACTTGATATAGTTAATTTTAAGAGCACTCATCTTCAGTGAAATTTGAAAATTTATATAATATAATAAATATTGAAAACCTAACATCAGAAAAAAAATTACTGGTATAGTTGTTATGATATCAATTGGATCCTGTGAACCTTAAAGCACAGGTCCGTCTGCATTTCTCTTGAAATTTCTTCCTGTGCTTTAGCCATTATTTGTCTCATAATTTATACTCGAATATAGCCATTGGGCGAGTCCGGTATTGGTAGACTAGTCCGCCTGATGTAGAATCGATGACGGCATGCTGGTCGTCAAAGCAAATCTGTATTGGTCCACTACGATGTAAATAATTTTTTGCATGTGGTATTCTATAATTAGTTTAGTGTCGAACGCTGTTCACTTGGTTTTGCCAGTGCCTTAGAGAGCAGTGCTTGGCGTTGTTGTTTGTTGGTATAATACATATTATTAATTATCAGTTAATATTATTTGTTCATATCGTAACCCGTAAATGGTAATAGTTATTAAAATAAATATTATATATGTAATTATTTAGTAATTTAGCAATGCTTTCTGGAGACCCTTTGAAATGGGAGATAACGAAATTACCCAGGAAAATCCTCAAGTAGTCGAGCCGGTTTTTGTCGAAAGCGTCGAAACAAACTCAGAGTTTAAAAACAAAGATTTACACGTATAAAGTCAACGTATTATTTTAACCATATATGAATGTTTGAAAAGAGAAAATAGTGAACAATGTGATAAAGAAATTAGGAAACGGATTAGCAAATTAACTAAGATATCAAATACCTCAGTTTATCGTGTAATTAATCACAGTAGAAAAAGGAAACAGAAAAATACAAAATTAAAGAATATTTATGATATTACCAGAGATGTAATACGACGCACAATTTATAATATGTATAAAGAAAATAAAGTTCCTAATTTAAACATGATTCGAGATAAATCAAACGATTATCCTAATTATAATTATAAATCTTTAGATACTTTATGACATGTATTACAATGCGGGTTTAAACATAAAAAACTTGTCAATCTTATGGTAATTATGGAATCACGACGTATAGTTGCACTTCAGGAAGATTATTTACAGAAAATTAGAGAATATCGTCAACTAAATAGGAATAGGAATGTAGCTTGGAATATAGAATATCTAGATGAGACAGGGCAAAATTTTTCTGGATGCCTATGGATTCCGTAGAGTTTATGAGTTAAATGTTTTTATGCGGTTCCAACTGATATCGTAACGACTATATCAAAGTTTAGTTCAGTACACTGTATTTTGTAAAAGACGACCAAATTTTGACTTTAAAAAACGTGGTGCTCTGTATGTCAAGTTCAAAAGACAATGGGACGTTAGGAAAAAATTTTCACATTTGTTGATGCTCTACCAGTTCCTGAATTTATGTCACCCCATTTAAAAACATACTTATATTAAAATGTTTTTACAGATCTATATTATTATTACAAAGAGTGGTTATTAATTTATGAATTCTTAAAGTTACACAAGTTAGTGTATGACATACATACCATAAAAGGGTTATCAGAAAATCCATAAATATTTAAGAATCAGATAATGTAATTTCCTAAATTAAAATCCAACTCTTTTTTAAAATAATTGCAAAACAGTAACATAATCAAAAAACTGCTCTGTCATTTACATCGTGTATTTCTTTTAAATATTGATTATTTACTATTCACTTTTCAGCCTCTATTGGATGATGGAAAAGAAAATGGTAGAATAAAAAAATCTAACAGTAACGGTACCCTCAACAATACCTACATTAAGAGCGAATATTCTGATTCATATGAGGCATGCTATTCCAATGGTAGCACAAAAGGGTTTGTAACACAAACGATAATGAAACACAATGGTAAAAAAATCGAATAGACCATGTAGTATAAATAAATTATAATTTTATTTAAATCGGGTACAAAGTGTTACTTCGTTTATATTCTTAATTATTTGTAGATAATTATTTATTAGTTGTTTTATACTAATTTTATTGTAGAGATTCTATAGATACAGATTGTTTACTGGTTGTGTTAATGTTGAGGTGTTTAAACCTAACCCTACTATGTGTTGGTCTAACATTGTATATTTCTATTTAAAAGTTTATTTCATAAAAAAAATATGGTTTAGGCTGGGTTAGGTTTGTACTTTACTATTGCACTATTTCGTCTAAATTTACAAGCTCAGGATATGTTTTGTTTTCTTATTTTATAAAATTTATGCTCTTATGCCCTTATTTTTTCCACTGTGTACATTTGGCCTGCAGGGACCATATAGATGCATCTCATATTGCTTGAACGTGTTTTTTCTTATTAATGTTTCTGTGAACCATTAGTGCCTGAAAATATTAAAAAAAAAACATACTGGTTATGTTCAAGCAATAATAGTTCTATAGCTTTTAGCTATTTTACGGTATTGTTATAAACTTTTGCACATATTCGCGTTTTTGATGTTTCGTACTTATTGTTTACATATGTTGCACATCTTATAAAAATACATTTATTTGTGTGAGCACACAAGTTAATTTTTATTGGTATCATGGAGGGGAGAGTAACACTATATTTTACCGTGGCATTCCTAACTAAAAAAACCTTTGTGTAGGCTGTTCGTACATTATAAAACATTTTAGGGGTATTGCAGTTCACCAAATCATAGTTTCTCTGCTGCAAGGTGTTGGATTTATTGCTATAAGAACTTGGCCAGTACAAGGTGTCTTGAAACTATGAACAAAAAGTTTAGGGGTTGATTCTATTCACAAAATAAAAATATTGAATTGAATTTTTTGAATACTCAATATTACGGGAGTTCAAAATTATTTTTTATAAATATGGTACCATTAGTCGATTCAGCCAAATTTGGTTCAAATAAACGCATCTAGTGAAATCGGAAAACGGAAATACATGTTGCATGTGTTCAACTTGTTAGACTCTTTGCTCCGAATGGTAAATTTTTTTTTGAGTGACATTGGTTTTATTAGGAATACTTATTAATTCTAATAGCCAGGTACCTGCTTCTAGTATCCGGTATTTACCCTTTACCCGTCAATTACCAGTTATCTGTTAAGAACTCATACCCGTTAATTACCCATTAAAAACCTGCATACTTTTTAATTTCCAAAATACCTGTCAACAATTGTCTTTTCACAATTTGATAATTGTTAAAACATTATTCAGATAAAATATTCGGATCCATAGATTATTTAGATCCGTATTTAGGGATTTGCTTAAATAACACATTTTAAAACATTAATTTAGGACTAATTAATAAATAAGAATCCATCGTATAAAATTTTGGAGATAACATTCCAAACTGTTCCGGTTTCGTTTAAATTCCCCGGACACTATACGACTTTACCGCAACACCAATACAACTGATATGTAATACCGATGTTGCTATCATGTATTTAAATGAAACTATTCACGAGGGGCCATATGACACATATGGACGTACAATATTTAGTAAATACGAAAACTTTTTTTTTTAAACTAAAAAATATATGGTCACAAAATCGAGGCAACATATTTTGGTGTTATATTGAGTACCATAAGGATTTGGGGTATATCACGCAATTGTCTAATAAAAATGTAAACAAAATTCTTGATGGTGCCGATGCATTACTGTATATATAAGTTATGGGTCACAACCAATAGTAATTTTGTTCCGGTGAAAGACCCCGTCAGAATCGATACATTTTTTTGCAACAAACTGCACCTGGGGAAAATAAAATCAAAAAGGTTTTCTTCTAAATCGTTAACATTAACCGTGTCTGAGAAAAAACTCATATGTTTTGCCATAAATGCATTTTTTGTCAGAAATGCTCATAGTTATCGATTTAGGACAAGAAAACTTTTTTGTACAATTTTAATCACAAAGTTATCAATATTTTATTCAATAAGGGCCCTGTAAAACCATTGGGGCTTGTTATTATTATCAATAATAAGTGTAATAAAATTTTTAAAAAATTACCTAATTGAAAAAAAAACAGCTTTTGGCAAAATATCGACAAAAAATATTACTTTGGGGTTACATTACTCTATTAACACTGATCTTTCGAAAAAGTATCGTAGAAACTTTTAAATTTTTTGTTCAGTTTCTGGACATCTTGTATATTAAAAAAAAGTAAGTAAAATTATGGGTTATAATATGAAATACCAGGTGGAACTATTTTTTTTTGCTGAATCTGCATTATTTAAGATAAATGAAACTACTAAGTCTATTTTAAACAAACTAAAATGAATCATCAGATATAGTGTATTTGTTTCCTTTTTAAGAAAAAAAAGTTAAAGGGTGTCACCAAAATATAAGTACAAAATTCTAGAGCGAGTAGAGTGCCAAAATCAGTCTATATGGATATGAATTAAGAATGATCCGTAAAGTATTCACAAATTCAGTAAAAAAAACTCTAGGACACATCGTTTTTATTTTTCTTCATACATTTTTTTAGTGCGTTCCGCTTATTTTCTCCTTTATATTTTGAGATATCAAAAAATGTATAAAAGTAATACAAATTATTTTAAATTTATGTTAATCATGTCTTCATTGACAAAAATGCAGAATATCAGACTACAGAGGTATGGGCTTAACATTTTTTTTAATGGACACCCTGTATGTTTCAGAAAGATCTACCATAAATACAGGGGGGGTAATAACGACAAAAAATAAGATTTTTTTGTCCTTTGAACTATATGTCTATCTCCTTGTTTTCGAGATACAGAGCGACAAAATAAAAATTTTTAAATATAATTTTTATGAAAATTTTCAAATGGTGTGAAATATTTTTATAAAATTTCGTATTCCGGGATTTTTAAGGATGCCAAATACGCTGGTTTGGATATTTCATAGATGGCGCTAGTTATGCTACATTCCTACTACATTTTAAGTTTTAATTTTTTTTAAGGTTAGGTTTTTTACCATTTGGGCTCCAATTTCTAGTGTACAATTTTATTTTCTAAAATAATGTACTTTTGTTAGAACTTCCTAATGTGGACGGCTTCGAGAAAAAAGGCTTTTAATTAAACTCTTACAATATTACGGTGTATAAAATAAGTGACTTTTCTCAAAGTAGGCTGCTTATGTCAAAACTTATTGATGGATGTTTCATAAACAACGCATACATTCTTAGTAATATTTTAAACTCTAATTAACCTTATATCAAAATTTTAGTAACTGTAATTAGCCATTACTACTACAGTCACTAACAATCACAAAAATTTTGATATAAGGTTAATAATTAGAGTTTAAAATATTACTAAGAATGTATGCGTTGTTTATGAGACATTCATCAATAAGTTTCGACATAAGCCTACTTTGAGAAAAGTCGCTTATTTTATACACTGTAATATTGTAAGAGTTTAATTAAAAGGCTTTTTTCTCGAAACCGTCCACATTAGGAAGTTTTAACAAGACTACATTATTTTTAGAAAATAAAATTGTACATTAAAAATTGTCCAAATTGTAAAAAACCTAACCTTAAAAAAATTAGAATTTAAAATGTAATAGGAATGTAGCATAACTAGCGCCCTCTATGAAATATCTAAAAAATAATTAGATCAGCATATTTGGCATCCTTAAAAACCCCGGAATACCAAATTTCATAAAAATATTTCGCACCGTTTGGAAATATTTGTAAAAATTTTATTTAAAAAATATTATTTTGTCAGTGTGTATTTTAAAAACAAAAGGAGACAGACATATAGTTCATATGACAAGAAAATTCTTATTTTTTGTCGTACTAGCACCCCCTGTATTCACGGGAGGTCTTTCTGAAAAACCCTGTATATTTAGACACAAGGTTTTCCTTTAACAACAAATTTTATGGATGGAAAGAGTGTGCTCTAAACCTAATGTGATAGAAAGAAATTAATATTATTTACTATGCAATCGAGTGTTTTTCTAACAAATGCTTATGGCCTACTCATTTAATTATCGACATCTCCATTATTATTAGAGATAGATCTTTCAAACCTTATTCACCGCAATTATAAAACACATTCTGTCTAAATATCTGTAAGTATATGTACAATATACATAAGGTAAAAAAATTCATATAATTTTAATTCTTATAAATATTTTGATATCTGAAAAGATTAATGAGAAAGCAGAGTGGAAACTTATCAAAACATTTTTTTTTTAATTTACCAAGAATTTAAAAATTTAAAAAAATAATGAGACAGCTGTTCGAAAATAGAAACAAAAATAACTTCTTTCTATTTAAAAAAAAATTGGAAATGACGTTTTCTACACGAGTCATTATAAAGAAAATTAGAAAAAATCGACAAGTTCGAGTGTTTTTCACAATAAAAAATATTGGACTATCGAATTTATGTGTCACTTTACAGATGCACTGTATAAATTTATTAGGACCGATTTCATGTTAAACTAAAATTCCTTTAAATCTAATCTTTAAAGCATTGTCATAACAATGTGACATGACTTTAGTGTAATTAAGAAATCAGTTCTAAGGTTATAACCACACTGCAAGTGAATCTCTAGATGAGAAGTTGGCTAACTACTTGGCAGGTGAACCACGTCTTCGGATATACAGTTTAGTAACCACTCACCTGAATAAATGATCTGCTACATCTTATTGAGTTCCATCCAAATATCTAGCTAACTTCTCATCTACCGTGATGTACGACAGCAGGCTAAATGTTATAGCTCTTGTAAAGATATTTTCAGTACACCTATAATGGATCTACTTACTTCAGTACCAGTAGTTATTTTCAACTCTATGATGTATAAATGAAATAGTATAAGAAATTTTATCGGTTGGTAGTACTGTCTAAAGTAAGACAAACCTTATGAAGTTATAAAAAGTTGTGTTCTTATAAAAGTAAGATCTAGGAAGATAATTCGCTGCTTCTTCCCTCCGCAGCTTTTGCATCGGAAATAGAATTCATAGTAAAATTGTTAAGAAGAGAGCGCTACTGCCGTATTCACCATTTTCTTAAGAGATAGTTAACACTTAATGGGCTGAGAGAAATTTTCCATTGAAATTAAAATCTAAAAGAAAAAAGTTGTTCGATTGCCAAACTTTGTTACGATAATGTTTGAAATACATATTTTGTCACTTAAATAATTCTTGAATTAAAATTTACCATTTATTGAGTTATAAGTTATAATGTTAATGAAAGTGTAATTTTATTTACTATCAACTGTCGATAACACAAGTATTATACTGTTTAATTTATCCCCTTCTACTGAATATGGAAAAATTATGTTTTGTTCAGGTTGAGTTATGCTGTATTTATATTTTTATTATGAAAATACCATTTATTAGTATATTGCAAGTGTTTGTAAATTAATAAAGTAGTTAGTCAATATAACATGTTTTGTAATATTTTTAAACTACAGACATTTTTTCACAGCTAAGGGTCTCTGTAAATTCTTTCTTACAGTGGTGGATGGTAAAAATTGAATGGGCCATATCTTCATAAACATGCATGGGACCCATACTGTTTTTTTACATGATTGCTTAGAGAAGTCTTGTGATGAAATAATTTCAAATAAAATTTGCAAAATAAGAAATAGAAATAAGAGGGTGCCCACCCTGGGATCTCAAAAGAAGTTGCACATATGTCTACAGCTAATAAATACAATTTGGAGTTTTATTCTTTTTCACGAAATTTTATTTTTTTAAGTTAGGGATGTTACTATCAAATTAAAATTGAAAGAGAATGAAGGAAATTTAATTTCGTGAAAAATAGGAGAACACCCAATTGTTTTTATGAGAATATGAAAAACATTTATTGCACAAATATCTGTAACCTTTTTCATGATCACAGGATGGGAACCCCTATTTTAATTTATTTTGTAAATAACGTTTGAAATTTTTTCATCATGAAAGTTGTCTTCATGGGTCCCATGCTTCTTTATAAAAATATGACAACTCCAATGTTCAAGAGCCACCCCTGCTTTCCTATAATCCCAAAATGTTTTTAAATTTAGAAAAAATGAATGACGCTAAAAGTAGAACCTACCTACAGTAACATTTAAAAAAATGTACATACTTGTTGAGTAAGTTAAAGTTATGAAATTGTAAAGTATTTTTGTATATAAAATTTAAATAAAACGCATTTTCAACAAATTCTCTGTTTTTTAATTTTTCTTACATACACATACAAACATAGATATACAATCATATACAGGGTATTTTTTAAGTTGGAGTTTTCCTTGTCTGAAATCGCTTTCCTTTCAATGGCCTCTTGAGTTTGGGGACCAGCCAGAAGTCGCAGGGGGCCATATCAGGAGAGTAAGGAGCCTGTCGAACCACAGGAATCTGTTTTTTTGCCAAAAAAGTCTCAATTAAGTGCGAGGAATGTGCTGGAGCATTGTTGTGATGAATGCGTCAATTTCATGCTGACCAAAAATCCGATCTCTTACGCACAGCATCACGTAGGCGTCTGAGGACATCCCTGTAGTACTCTTTAGTGATGGTTTGACCCTGAGGTGCGTACTCGTGGTGTACCACATCGTGGAGTCAAAGAAAGCAGTCAGCATCACTTTGACATTGCTGCACACTTTGAGGGTCTTCTTTGGTCTTGCTAATCCATCAAGTTTTCACAAAACAAAATAGGGTCAGATACTTTTCTAACAGACCTCGTATTTATATAATTACTTATTTGTTGAAAAAAAAGTGTTACATCATGTTCGCATAGTTCATGGACATGGGCGTAGCTAGGAGAGGGTGGGGGTGTGCACGGCCCACCCCAGAAAATTCGGTGCATACCCCAGGAAAAAAGATACATATTATCATCTTTGCCATATCGGTAAGTGGGGGCAACCTTTTTTTTGTTTTTAGAATCAAATCAAAACGTGATCAAATTTTATATGGAAAGTAATAAAATTAACTTTTTTGTTTTTTGAGGCCTGCATAGAGCTTGCAGCCAACCCCAAGCAAATATTGTAGATATGATCATGTCCATGGAACATAGATATGTTATTTTTCATTCATATTTGTTGACACTAGCCCTTTTCTTCTATTCATGATTTCGGAAGCATAACGTGTTACGAACCGATGGAAACCAATCAGAGGTTGCTAGATTTTGGATCGTAACGCGTTATGATTCTGAAATCATGAATAAAAGAAAAGAGCTATTACTTAAGAGACTTGTATTGTTTCGTAAGTAAAACGTTATCTCTTTTGGATTTACACAATGATCAAAAACATAGAGGCCTGTGTAAGATGACTATCCAATTATTAATTTGTACATAAATATCAGCTGATAATGTTATCTTTATGTTCCAGCTTAAGGCTATGTCTAAAGTCAAATGAGTGTCTGTAGATTTGCTAGTGACTAGAGTAGTAAGCCTTTAGATTTGGCAACGTTGCACTTGGCTGGCGCGCTCGGCGCTGCGTTCGCTGGCTCGCATTCGATCATTCTGTTTGTTTAAGCTTTGCTTTGTTAGAACTGTGTGTCGCAGACGACGTACGCAGTTAGCAGAATCTGTAGTGTTCAACTTTATCGGTTTTGAAGGAGGGTTTTTGTTAGATTTAGTGCTTATGATTGTATGCTGATGAATGTAGACGAAAATATTTATTTTGGCAATTTTTTTTTTTTCATGACAATGGCTGAACATTTTTTGCTGACAATACTTATCGAAAAAGATCTTTTAAATTTAATTAGTTGTCGTCGTCAAAATAATAGTGAAAATCGAATGTTTTCTAACAGACATTTGAAAAGGACGGATACAATCGTCAAGATCGATTAATTTCTCGTCTTCCTCTGGTCAAAACTTGGTTGCCATTTTAAACTATCTGAAACATCAAGAATATTATTAAATTAACATGTTGCTGTGGGAACTGTTCGTCAATTGTTGCGCATTCTGAGTGGAAAGACCAAAAAAATCTACATTCTCACAAGACCCTCGTGAATCGTGAAAAATTATTTTATTAATATCTCGTCTCTTAGGTATCCAAACTAGTCATAATTTTTTTTGAGGAAGGCAGCCTAAATCTTCTCAAAAAATGTTATTGCATTAGCATCTATAGAATTATTCATGGAAAAAACATGTTGAGTAAAACTAATATATTTTTGCTGCCTGCAGAAGGGGCACCTTCCTAACGATCTCATTCCATAGGTGACTCTTAACTTCACATCGTACATCCGGTTTGAAATCAACGTTACTGAAGGGAAGCATGGTTGTCAAGGCCACTTCTCTTAGATAGATTTTCAGAGGTGGCAGGCACAGCATTACCTCCATTGCTATGGTGGGTGTTGTTTGCATAGCTCCAATTATGCTCAGACAGGCAATCCTTTGTACCTGGCTGAGCTTTTGTTAAGCTGTGTCTGTTGGATTTTCCGCCACCAGAAGACAGCTCCGTAGGCTAACATTGATCTCACAATGGCAGTGTATATCCACATGACCACTTTTGGTTTTGTTTGCGAACGTACAAAAATAAATAACACAAGTATTGGGAAAAGGAAGGACAATTCGGCAAGTGTTTCAAATCATTACTTAATTTTTGAAAATTGTAGGTTGAATAGCTTCAACAATGAGATAAAAGGCTTGTTTTGGTTCTGTCATTGGATAGTCCTAGAACAGTTCAAAATAGTTACCTAAGTATATTGTCAGTATATCTTGACTGAGATGTTCTTATGAATGGAATGGTCAACTAATTTGAACCGTCCTAGAACCGTTCTCTGTCCGAACCAAAACAAAGCTAAAATAACAACTATATATGGTATTTTATATATCTATGGAAAGGTAATAAAAAATAAATAATTTGATAATGCGATTGACTTAGAAATACCCTGTATTCACTACATCCAACACTGAAATTAAAAGTTTGTCTACTTTATTGAGTTACGTCATATTACAGAAAAACTTAAATTCAGAAAATATCCTGTATTCACTGTATGGGTACATACACTGAATCACTAAAACTAATATACAGGGTGATACACAAAGGGTGACCAAAAATTAAACCTCGTATTCTTTTATGAATTTTAAGGGGAGTCTTTGCTATGAAGTTTTTATTTAGAACGCCTCGTTAAAAAGATATAGGGTGTTAAACTTAAAAAAATATTTTAAATTGTTTGAAATAATTTAAAAACTAGTAAGTGAAATAATTTAAAATTGGGCACTTGTATGTACGTAAACATTGTCCAAAATCTGGAGCCTTTTCCTAAAATTTTGGTGCTTCAGTGGCGGAGATACAGTTTATCGGTGACATATTTTTCTAAATTAAATAGTATGCCACTGCTTTACGGTATCAATCATGATATTTTCGGATTCGTCTTTCAATTTTCTACAAATTACAATTCTCTTATGTTTTTCTAAAAAAGCCTGATTTTCGAGTAAAACTTAAGATACGAACTGAAAACACACTTTGATATTTGAATAAAATGTGATTTAAAATTACACAGTAGGCTGCGATAGCAACTTTGACAGAAGAAAGAATAAATAATGCTTTTCATCAGATTCAAGCAACAATAAATTTCGAACAAATTACATTTTCGTTAATAAAAATATGTTGCGCCTGTATATGTCGAAATGGAGGTATTTTTGAGCATGTAGTCAAATAAAATCATTAAAATGATAGGCTTTTTTCGAAATACATAAAAGAGTAGTTATTTGTAGAAAATTTATTTATTTTATTTTAAAAAATGCCACCGATACTCTGTATCTCCACCACTGAGGCTTCTAAATTTTAAGAAAAGTCTTCAGATTTTGGATAAGGTTTACATACATACATGTGCCCAATTTCAAATAATTTCACATAATAGTTTTTAAATTATTTAAAAAAGTTGTAAACATTTTTTAATTTTAACACCCTGTATATTTTTAACGAAGTGTCTTAGATAAAATTTTTATATAAAAGATTCACCAAGGAATAAAAGGTTTAATTTTTGGTCACCATTTGTGAATCACCCTGTATTATGAAAAGATTCTGACGTTCTCCATGACAGTGTCTCAATCTGGTGTCTCACTACTAGAGATGGGCGTTGCAGTTCACTTTGCTGAATAGTTCGTTTGTGAACTACTCACTTTAAAGAATAGTTCATTTTTACAGTTGGAAATGAACTGTAGTTCTTTTGCCTTGACTCAATTTTACTACCTATCTTCCCCACCAGGAATGAGCTGCTCAGCTCAGCATCGACACCTGACGACCTGACAGCGGCAGCGGCAATGGTTTATTTTTGTCGAAGCTGACATCGTGCCACGTGCAGTAGCCGGCGCAGCATGTTACAAAGAGATTATAAAAAATTTATGTTATTAATGCAACAAACTATGGAAAATTATGTTGACAATTAAAACTATTGCGCAACGTCACCCCTGACGAAAGTCGGTTGGATTCTTGGAACAACTATAGCTAATATAGTAAATTTAATAAACGCAAAACATTAGCTTCATAACTGATGATAATTAACAGTAGCATGTTTGTTGCCTCGTCAATCGGTTTCAATGTTTCAACTAAACAAAGAACTTAATCTACTACGACGAATATATTCGCAGATCAATTAACGGTAAACGGTAAGCACTGCACAATAAAAGAATACTGAAATAATTTGTTCGAAATGAATCGTTCACGAACTATACATCTCTCAATTCTTAAATCTCCAGTAGCCAGCGACAGTAGCACGATCCTCATCGCATCACCGGTCGGTTTCGGTTTCAACCTATGAACATAGTATAATCTAGCTAGAGGCACGCGCACGTTTGCAGTTCGTTGGAAGTGAATAGTTCTTTTCAACTATTCGTTCACGAACTACACATCTCTACTCACTCTGGTTAACAAAGTTATATGTATATTAGGTAATACAATGAATTTTTGTGTCACATATCTTCATCAGAGATATTTGATTGCATGTAATATTTTAATTTTTCTAAAACCATAGCATGCTGTATCTAAAAAGCCAATGGCTTTTGACTCTAATCAGTAAGATTTTCTAATTTAAGTAATAATCTAAAAAACACTTTCTAATGAATTGCAGTCACAAGACTAATGAGCCTTTCTCTAAAAGGCAAGCAGAAAAGTAGGCACATTTTTTTTATCTCATCTGCCTTACTGTACTTGCATTTGCCCACTACGTTTAGATTAATGAATACTAGTGCGATTTGTATCTGTCAGTCACACTGACATTTGAAAAGTTAAATTATTAGTTTTCTGTGTAAGAAACCATGACTTCAACTTTAAATTTGATCAAGTGGATACCACCATCAATATGGAATACCGAAATACAAACTGTTGTTTTAACAGTGCTAACTTTTATTGGAGCTTGGGTTGTTGTTACAAAAATACTACAGTTAATTTTCTCTATTCTGTGGCCCCTCATTGTGGTAGGAGGAATACTATTAATGGCACCCAATGTCTCAGTGGAGTGGATCTCGGAATCCTTTCCAATTTATGCCAAAAACATTGTAGATTGGATCAAAAAGTGTTTTAATGATTTCAGTTACAGTGTCAATAGAAATAAATGATAAAGTGTTAATCCTGTTCTTGAAATAAAATATACTCTGTCCGAAATGTTATTTTATTTCTTGTTGTCATACAAAATCCAACTGAATTTTTTCTATAAATCAGTTTTAACATTGTATTGATCGTAAAAGATGTTTTGTGTGAAGGAACATTAATAAATATTAACGCTTAAGATTACAGTCATGGATCAAAATTCCATAAGTCTGTCGGAATCTGTAAGAACTTCATTGGTGTGTTCAGACTGTTCAGGTATTACATGATGACTGCCTATTAAACACCCTTTAATTTGACACCCACTTTCTATTGTCACTCCATCGCAAACTATACAATTCTCTAATGCTACCCTAAAATGAAAATTTATAGTACTGAAATGAGCAAAATATACAGTATGTACCAGAAAAGCTGAGACTGCACTCGAACACATACCTATGTAATGAAAATAAGACGTTTTAGATCAACTTACCTATATAAAAAAAGTCAAGGCCTACTGAGATATGGCTGAATGTGGTACCATGAAAAGACACTTTTTTATACCAAAAAGAGGACCTTAATAAATATATTTTAGAATTGTTAGTTTCTCTGGATCTTAGATCAATCTGATGGAAATAAAGTCTATATAAAATTTGATCTGTTGTTTTATTACATTTTCAGGACTCTTATTATTATGGTTTCTTTTGTCAGTCTTAATAGTAAACCATAAGAACTTTTTTAGATAACAGGGAATTTTTCCAATCTGCATTTACTAACTAAATAATACTATATATTATTTATATAGCAAATGCAGATTGGAAAAATTCCCTTATGTAAAAAGGTCCAGCAATAATTGTCAAAACTGCCAAAAATAATTTTAAAACGTAGTCATTTCTGAATACTGAAAACAAAGACAGATTGCTTTCCGAAATGTCAAAACTTGTGAAGTGGGCGATATACAGGGCATCCCAACGAAAATTTGACCCCCCCTATAATTGGAAAACCGAATAATATTTCAAAATTCGCCGAGACCCGTCGATTTTTGTTCTTGGGGGGAGCTTTTTTGACAGTCAAGCCAACCGTTAACTTCCAAACAATAATACAGTCTGTTTTCAAATTCTGTTCGAACATTATTAAAGACATCCGCAGTTATTAATCGGCATTCTTCTACAATTCTCTGACGTAGCACTTGCAATGTTTCCGNTAAATAATACTATATATTATTTATATAGCAAATGCACATTGGAAAAATTCCCTTATGTAAAAAGGTCCAGCAATGATTGTCAAAACTGCCAAGAATAATTTTAAAACGTAGTCATTTCTGAATACTGAAAACAAAAACAGATTGCTTTCCGAAATGTCAAAACTTGTGAACTGGGCGATACATAGTAATATATTTTTCATTTCCTGTCTGTTTTTCTTATAACCCTTTTGGCACGAGGATTTACTTTATCAATTTTTAAAGTTTTTCATAATCCCAATAAATAGAAACAATGAAACATTCTTTCCATAAAACAGACCTATAATCCAGAGAAACTAGCAATTCCGAATCTCTTATTTGGTCTTTGATTATTTAAATGTAAATTATACAGAGTTCTTTTCTTGGTGTGGTCACCCTCTTCACCACCCTACCATTTTTTTATGTGTATTCAATGGTTTTCTAAATTAGCTTGGCTAATGTGAAATTTATTTTCAATGTTTGCGTCTCATAAAATTATATCTGCTATGAATATAAATAGCAAGAGCAAAACGATTGCATTATTGGCACTGAACATACTAAAAATTATGATTTTCTTCAGAGAATTCTGATTTTATATTTGAATACAAATTAGAGAAAAGTTAATATAAACACACTTCTTAAAATGCTTTCTAAGAACACTGCTATGGCTGCTGAAATGATGTAAAATAAATATGACAATTTTTAAACATCTATAGTACACTTTGAACTATATTCATTTACTTTTTTCATTTTTATCAATATTTGAACACCCCATTTTTCAGTAAAAATAACTCTGAAGATTTGTCTATACAGTGGAACCTCGATTATCCAAACTAATTATTGCAAGCTACTGTTCAGATAACCGATTTGTTCGGATACCTAATCAAATTTGAAATGGAAACATATACAAAAATCTTTATTCAAAGTAGCAATGGAATTCAAAATATAATCTTTGGTGTAATAAACTAAACTTAACATGTTTTACTGATATGTAGTTCACTTTTTAAAAAAATCTGTAATCTTCCGTTGAGTGATATGACTAGTGCAAATTTCTTCTTCACTCTCATCCTCCTCCTCCTCCTCCAAGTTTTTTACGATCAGTAATATGTCATTATCATTCATCGCTTCCATTGCATCTTTTCTTCCAGTGCCCATTTTTGTATTTCTTCTTCTGTTGGAACATACGCTTTCTCTTCGATATCTCAAAACTATAAAATATGTTCAAAAACGTAACGTTGAGAAATGCACACTCTTAACACAAGGTACAACATATGCTTACGAATACGAAACATGTTCGTCTGACAGACGAAGTGAGCAGCCCCTTCACCCAGATCATTGGGGAGGAGTGGCCTTGTTCGGTTAATCAAAACCTGTTCGGATAATACCATCGCTTTTTTCGTGTTCGGATAAGTGGATATTCGGATAAAAGGGTGTTCGGATATCCAAGTTTCCACTGTATTAAATCCTCAGCAAATATCAGTTTTCATGAGATAAAAAATTTTGTTGATGAGATACATCGAAATAATCAAATATGTCTAGCTAAAACAGTTTTAGAGTGATCCTAGAACATATTTTGCAGTACCACATCATATTCAGTGAACCATATTTCAGTAGGCGTTTACTTAGATATATGGGAAAACTAATCTCCATAATCTTATTTTGACCTTGGAACCTGTGACTGAGTGATATCCTAACGTTTCTAGCACACCCAGTGTAAATAAAGTTAAATAATTTTATTGCAAGTAAATCAATGGTCTTGTTATATTTCTTTGAACAAAAAGCTGTTTTAGAATTTTCTTTAAAAATTTGAGAAAAGTGTAAAATGAAAAGAACACAACACCTCAAATTTTTGCTAATACTTTAAATATACCAAATATGTATTTTTACTTACTTTTCCTTTATCGTAACATTATTCATGACAATGCTATTAAATACTCTACTAAAACTGCATATTTCAGTGTTGGCGCCAACAATACTATTTTTGAAAGATGTTTTTTCATTCAATTTCGCCCCCTCCCATATAATACACTTATTGTCCACTTGGTTTGATGCGATAACCGCTTTTGGATGTTTTAAAACCAATTCTTTGCCATTAGTTATTTTTTCCCACCTATCTATAATCTAAAAATATGAAGGGCATTATTTTGTAAGTAATTCTATGTATGGAAGATGTTACAAAAAAATAGATCAACTTTCCCTGTCATTTTTCATTTAAGAATTTTTAAAATATATGGCGTCGTCGAAGGAAAAATTTAAAGTAATCGATAACTTGAGTTTTTTTTATAATTTAAAAGCAAACAAATTTAAACTGTCAAAGTAACTAAAACGTAAGTAAAAAAGTTCAGATAGGTTTTCGAAACATTAATAGCTTTTTAAAGGTCTGTTGTCCACTTTTTTCAGTGTGAGATTTTTTTGTTAGCAAAACTATTTTCATAAAAATAATCCTTGACTGATACTTTTGGTACAAGGGTTTATTTCACTACAAGCAAAGTAATTTTTAAATTTTTTCACAAAGTGGCAAAATACCCAAAAATAAAGAAAAACATATTTAGACCTGTCCTATACTCCGCGGTCGAAATTATAGAGAGTGACTTAGACATAATATAAAAACACTATTACCATAACGCGTATAAAATATAAAATTTCTTTTATAACGGTTCAATATTATTTATCTTTGTGCCGCTCGCTACGCACATCGATAGAATCTGTAATCGTCTATAGATTGAGTTACACTGAACGTCGATCTATATTCTATCTCTGTCTTTTGCACTTGGTAGGGAAGAGGGAAATGCTTATTTAGTGGGTGTAAACGGACTTGATTTACCCGTCCTGAGAAACGTCATAGCATAAGCGTAGACGAGGGGTCTAATTCCGAGGCTATAGTAAATTTATAAATTATAAAAAACACAACTGGGACGTTTCAAAATGCTATAATAATTAAAATTGATCAAAGTGCCGGTTATAGCAAACCGTAAAAAATATTAGATGTTATGTTTTATTATGTTTTTTCAATATTTCCTATATCTTGTTGCCTTTTACGCAGACACGCCAATGGATTTTTGTTCCCGGCACGCTTCATCCCCCTTACTAGTCCAAAAGCTAGCGATGAGTCACTCTCTATAATTTCGACCGCGGTGTATAAGTGTTTGATCTAAAGAATCAATCCCAAATGCTTTCTTTAATATTTTGTATGTTTCTGCAACAATCTTACTAATTGTAAGTTTAAAATGTGCCATTACAAAATTACAAACACAAGAAAACACAATAGGTAATGAAAAATTGTTCTGTTCACTAATAACAATCACGTTCGCTTACAATGAAACTGCTAATCATACAGACCCATACAATCTCACATTCGGTGTCTCACTGTAACTATGTTCGTTCACATGCATGATTCAAATTGCAAGAACTTTTGGGTACCACCTTATAGCTCCGATATCCTTCCTGTATCTTAGAAAAGAGCATTCGGAATTGAAAATACCATAACAAAAGAAATTATTTTCACACTCTAAGAACCTGCAATTAATCTGATCTATAGTTTTTGTAACACCCTGTAAGCATATGTATATATTTATATTTACCTTAGCATTAATAGACCAATACGAGGGTAGGGTATTAACACGAATTCCAAACGTATCTTTTGGAGGTATATAAGCAAAACACCTTATACTGTCACTATGATATGCAGGTCTTAAATCACCAATATGATCATTATATGAGGATGCATTTTTAATCTCCAAATCCAATTCATCTTCTTTTGCAAATACGAATATATCACCACTGTCTTGAATATTTACAATAGATTCTTTAGTATCAGCTGGTTTTGGAGGTTTAGACAACTGTTTCTTGATAATATGTGGTAATAATTCTCCTTTAATCGACATGAAATTTTCTTCACTTTTCAAATATTGGATAACCCAGTTTTTCAAAACATATACATGCGAGTCTATCAAGTTGCTGTAAATTTTAACATTGGTATGTTTTTTAAGCAAAGTGGTTGGCAATGACAATTCATTTTCAAAATCACTAGCTGAAGCCAGAAATACCAATCTACTAGTTTGCTCATCAATTCCAATTAAGTCACGTTCTACATCAAATAAAAAAAAATTGTCATATAAATCATCCTGCATATCATGAATACCGAGGTAAATTGGATAAGAAAAATTATTTTATGTTAAAATATAAGATTTTAGTTAAAATATCAAAAGACAATTACCTGTTTTATATTTAGATTTTGGTCCTGGCACTATAATGTTCTCACTCTGTTGAGGATATAAAAATAATGATGTCACAGATGCATTATGTGCCCTAAAAGTGTTTAATATCCCTTTCAAACTTACGTCGCTAATAAAATCACAAGAAATGACGAGAACATCAGACTTTAATTTATCAGAAATCAAGCGAAGACTATCGGCAGTACCTAAATCTTCATTGTCATTTATGGAAACATAATCTACTTTCAGATCAAGATCAGTTCTTTCCAATGTGCTCTGTATCTCAGCTCTTTGAGTTTCTAATACTATTAAAATTACATCTGGAATGTATTTGTGTTAACCGATATTTCTAACATATGTACAAATTATTTACCAGAAAATCCAGCAGTTTGTAATTTATACAAAGGATACCACACAAGAGGTTTGGGACCTAAAGGCAAAAGACATTTAGGTTTTCCAGCTGTTATTTCAGACATTCGAGATCCTTTTCCAGCTGCAAAAACAACTGCTTGAAATTCCACTTGAAAAGTCATGATTTTCCATATATTTATCACTTCTTCAACATATATTTCTTAGACAAAAGTATATAAAAACAAGGCAATTCTAATTATATTCCAGATAACATAATTTGGAAATTGGTAGAGATGTGTTGCTCTTTCACTGTCTGCTACTTTGGCACTGTTCCGCAGTTGTCACTGGAGCTGACTGTTCCGCTGCGACAAAAGAAGCAGTGATTTTTCGGAGCATTTACTGCAAAGAGCAATTTACTAGCGCCAGAGACATAGCTCAGGCGTGCCGGCCACAGCAGAGCAGATTCTCGCTCAGCCGTTGCGAACTGTGCTTGTATTAGTCACAGTGTCACACACTAAACACAATACAGTCTCAGTACAGTCGCGTTTGATTTAAAGACATTGTATTTCAGCGACTATATAGAGCAATGCGTGTATTGCTGGTTGCTGCGCTACAAATATTTTAACAGTTTTTGTTTACAAAATCACATAGACAGCAAAAAACATGCGACTGTTCATTTGTTTTTGTTGCACTCGCGGAAAAATTTTGAATATCTGGCACTGTACTCACTGTATGATGTCGTCGTTCTATGTGTCTTTTTAAATTGGTGATTGAAGATTTATAACAAATATTTTGCTTGCATATATGTATTACAACAAGGTTTACTTTCATGCGTTGGTAAAAATAAATTCCACAGGAAAGATTTTCTTCGTTTATCCATTTCCAATTTTATTTGTAATAAAAATTTATTAGTAGTAATTTAGGACAAAATAACGGGTCACGACGCTATATCAAATTCAAATAAATAATGCGAAAGCGAAATAACAAATTGAGCTAAATCTACGAAAGTTGGCACATGCTTGAAAAACAGCGCATAACGAAAGTATCCCTAACGCTAGCCGCTATTAAGCACGACAGGTGTCGATTTATGAACTCTGACGCGGAAATAAGGGAACATATCACGGTAGGAATGTATGCGCGCGCTACCAGGAGCTGTTCCGAAAAATCGCAGCTATTTGTCACTGCTCTGTTGCCGGAGCAGTAGCAGGTGTCACTGCTCCGCAAAAAGAGCAGTTTAGCCCATCTCTAGAAATTGGAAGACAAGTTTTCTAGGTTACAGAACTGTCATTGTCATTTGTCATAGTGATGGGAGATTTCGAGTGAAAAATCGAGTGGTACTCGATTATTGAGATCACTCGAGATATCTCGAGATGTTTACTCCCACCACTCGAGTGATTATTACCCTACGGTTGCACCCCAAAATGTTAGTGCATACTGCAAATAGTCACTGATTGCGTAACCTTTTTTTTAGAATAAAACGAAAAAGTGGTTAGGTTTTGAAGTGCGTGAGCTTTTTTTTTTTTTAGCTACGCTTATAAGTAATATATGACTAATACAAACATATTTGTGCGCCGCTGGGATGAAAACGACCAATATCTCGTATCTCGAGTGATTACTTGATTATTAGAAGTACTCGATTACCGATAACTCGATTATCAAAATTGGTCGATTATGCCCATCACTAATTTGTCATTTCACCAATTTCCAAGTTAGGTCATTTTTAAATGAACTTTCAAATGTTGGCAAGAATACCAATTGTTGGTAATATTTCCTTAAATAAGTAAATTTATTAAAGTACTTTCTTAAATTTTTAGCAAGATAAGAGCAAATCTATCCTTCATTGATATAAAGTTTTCCACCATTTTCATATTTCATTCACAAAGTTATAACCAAGTTTACGTATGAACGAATATGTACCGAAATGTTATTTTGCTGTAACGTAAAAAATGGACTAGCAAAGCGAATGTGGTAACGCTGAACAAGTGCACAGTTCAAAAATTAATATTTCTCATCCGACGTTTGACGTTTGACAAACATCTAATTGTATTGTAACAACATAAATAAACAATCATTTCTGAATTGGTATTCGATTTGCCCGAAAATTACATTCTATTAAAAGTAGAAAATGGGTCGAAGGAAGTCTAAGAGGAAGCCAGCGCCTAAGAGAAAAGCCATAGAACCATTGGATACACAATTTAATTGTCCATTCTGCAATCATGAAAAATCTTGTGATGTTAAAATGTAAGAAGCCTTTCTGAAAATTTTATGGAGAATTTATGAAACACATCAGTTTTCTTTTGATCAATTGCTACCATTTATTAATGGTTTACTTTTTTAGGGATAAAGGTCGAAGTACTGCTCGAATAACATGTCGAGTTTGTCTAGAAGATTTTCAGACCACTATAAACTTCTTATCAGAACCTGTAGACGTTTATAACGATTGGATAGATGCTTGTGAAAATGCGAATTAGATTTTAATGTAACATTTAGCAGTTTATTTAGTTTTATAAAATAGTTAAGTAATATGCAAAAATTTGAGTGTGAACAGATATTTAGAATTGTTTATAAATCTTTCTGTGCCGGCACATTGTTTATAACTTGCTTAATTTTTAATTATACGTATTTTTCTGTGACTATACAGTACTGACATTTTCGTCTTTTCATTAAAAAAATTGTTTCGAATATACCTAAAATTTATGAAGTAAAAATTTATATTTCCTTTTGTTAAGCAATTTGTAAACAACTAACTACCATTAAAATATTGTCTACATAATGCCTATAATAATATTTTAAAGGGATGGTTTATGTTCACGTCATTAATTTAATTCCTCTATTATAAACATATCAATATTGGCAACGTATCCATTCAGCGTTTAAAATCAAGCTTTAGAATATAATAGCCAATACATTTTGAAAACTATGTTTCAAAATATGTTAAATTTAACCAGATTTTCATTTTTATTATATATGGTCTATTTTAAAAATCTATACCTATGGAGACTCAGAATTATTGTTGTATGTATCTGTTGCATATTATAAATTCAAAATGTAAAGATTATTTAAATACTTAGATAAATATCAACAAAAATCAGAACGATTACTACTAAAATACCTATATAAGTACATTTTTTCTTTAATACAGGGTGTATTTAAATTAAGAAGCATAAATGCCACCAGATAGGTATTCTTGAGGACAAAATATGATAATAATTGTGACAAATAGATATATCTTCGTTCAAACTTTGCTTTGCTAGTTACATGGTGTTTAAATATTTGAAAAACATTATAAATATTCACAAAATACATTTAATGTAGATGAAAAGAACTTGGGTTGACACATTAATTAAATAAAGGTAAAAATTTACTGAATATAGAATTAAATTGATTACAACTTCACCTCAAATCATTTTTTAAACTTTTTAGGAACTGAAACAAGCATCTGGTAAACATAGATACAAATTAAAATCATGCCAGTGTTCATACCAAAGGGAATATTCTGGAAATTTTGACAGGTTTATTTTTGAATTAATCTACAACAATCTACAGCAACGTCTACCAACGTTTACTTAAATATTTGTATATTAGGATATATGTTGGCTGTTGGCTTTTGGCTGTTGCTTGAGTTTATTATATTTTCATAAAAAGGCTTATGATCTTTTGGGACCCATTTAAGAAATATTTTTTAGGTGTTCTTTCATAGTAGCTAAAATCAGAAGACTTCCTACATAGGAATTTATCACATCTGTCTTGCTTTTACTTTATTTTAAGAAAAACTGTCTGCTCAAAACTGAGCGTTTAAATAATAACCAAATAATCTTTTCAACCAATAGTGGAGATAACGAGGAGGACACACACGTTAAGAATCACAGCATTTTGACACCAGCGAGTATTTTGAAAATTGTATTGGTACATTTTATTTGCAATTTTATTTCAAAGAAAAATGACCTTTCTGATTTTACATGCAATATGCACAAAACTTAACTATCTAAATGCATATAAGACAATAATAAAAATATTTATAGAATTTTTTTGTTGCAATTACGGTTTTAAATACAAAAATATATATAATTATTGGTTAATTTTGTATGCCACTGAATTTCGATGAAGTCCAGTCATTCATTGTATTTTTTTAAGTGAATTTTTGCCTTTATTTAGTTCCCAACTTAAGTTTCATTAATATGTCAAACATCTTCCTAGATTTTGCATTTCTGTGTTCTCTTTAAACGTCTTATACCCTGTAACTGACAATTGAAAAGGTCTAATTGGCTCGAGTATCATTTAAATGCAACCTGTACAAAAGCATTTTAACGTCTTAATGTTATTATCTGATAAGTTCTGTGCAATAGTGACAGAAATTTAATAAAGAAATAATTCAGTAAGAGTTGTAAAAAGTCCTCTCTTTTCTATGATCAACCATCATTTTACTGATAAAGCACTAATGATTAATTTAGTATAGTGGATATAATTCTAATAAAATTTTGTTAAAATTTAATTTCTTATTATTGTGTCTACATTCTAAGGCTACATAGATCTGTGTTAATAAAAAAGTGTTAAATTAAATTCGAAACTATTTCTTACCACTACCAATAATTTTAATATTTTTAATATTTCTTTATTTATTTTGCATTAAAAGGAAATAAATCTTTGCACTAAAAGGATTACAAATCATGAGTTTCTTAATTAATTTGTTAAATATATGGAGATATTTGTCTCACAAAAAAAGAGTCCATAAATACAGGGTGTTTCTTAATGTGCTAATATTTAAGGAGGTTATTCTTGGGTCCATTTTAAGAAAAAAAACTTCATATGATCATATGTCCTAAAAGTCTTAACTTTTGAACTACAGAGTGCTAAAGTTGTATGAAAAAAATTTTTTTAATGATAACTGGTATTACCTACCCTAGATATTTTTTCAAATTTGGTACACGCCTTATATTCATCGAGATGCATTTTCTGATGTACAAACAATTTTATTATTTTTGTCAGTGGCGTCTGTACAGGTTTTGTATTGAATATTTTTGAAGAAAAATATGTTAGGCCACTGCTTTTTCTTAAAGTAAAAACCATTTTTGAAATCCTCATTCCTTTCTGAGCAAATGTGGTGTCTTGAATTTTTTTCGTTTGACGTACGGTTTTCGCATAAAAAAATAAAATTCATTATTATTGGACCACTTACGAGAGAAAAAAAAAAATTTATATAACTTTGAACAATTTATTTAAGATAGTAACTTTAAAACGTTGAAATTATGAAATTACAGTAATACATTTTGGAATGGTAAAAGAAAATTACCCTTACGTAACATATTTTTCTTCAAAAATACAAAACCTTTACTGGCACTGGCACTGGCAAAAATAATAAAATTGTTTGTACATCAGAAAATGCATCTCGATGAATAGAAGGCGTGTACTAAATTTGAAAAAATATCTAGGGTAATACCAAAGTTATCATAAAAAAATGTTTTTTCATAAAACTTTAGCACCCTGTAGTTCAAAGTTAAAACTTATAGGACTTAAGTTCATATGAAGTTTTTTTCTTAAAATGCACCCAAGAATAACCTTAAATATTAGCACGTTATTAAGAAACACCCTGTATATTACTTAGTAATTTGTATTTTGACTCAAATAATTATAAAAATAAAGTAAAATCGACATAACATTCTACAAGTTTATAATTAAATGACTTGAATAATATTAATTAATTAAATTAGTTTTTATCCTGCTGGTCTGTCTAAACTTAAATTAAATATTGTTAATGCAAATTTGATATGCTATTTTAGTAACAATTATTAATCCAGTAAATACTATTTTAAAATTATTTTCATTTTGTTTTTAAAATATACACGATCATGCTCAGTGTCGTATACATATAGACTCCAAAAAGTAATTTGAAAAAATGGGGTGCCAAATATATCAGAATATGTAGATATATCTGATAATAGTAAATAATACTTTTTGTTTTTTTTTTGAAAGCGAAAAATATTGCTCGTTTGGTTTGTTGTTCATAAAATTCAGAATGGTGACCATAAGAAAAAAGAAATTTGATGTTTTTTCAGAGCTGAAACTTTGGAATAAAAATTTCAACGCAGTGAAACTGATTGCAAAAAGTTGCTAGATTGTGTTTTTACATATTTCAAAAATTCTTGAAACTAACAGTTACGGTGAAGTACTTATTATTTCGAAAACGGCGAGTGTCGCTATAAGTTAATGATCTAAAACTTTTCTCCATTTAACTGCATTTTTTATATTCTATAGTTTCTCAAATCCTAAAAAATGCATCACTAAGGCGCGGTGCACACTGGAGAAACGCATTTCATGAAATCCGTTTCATGAAACGTGAAACTGAAGTTGCTTGAAACCGGTAGATAAGATAACACAGGCCCGTGCACACTGCGTTTCATGAAACTCTAGTTTCAACAGTTTCGTGAAACCAGGTTTCTTGAAACTTGAAAAAACGGTTTCATGTGACTTCAGTTACACGTTTCAAGGGGTTAAATTCATCTTCATTTCACGTTTTTTTTATATAATTTGCTTGTTTTGAGTGGAATTTCAGTGAAAAATGGCAACGATTACGTTTCAATCGAAGTTGGTAGAAACAGTGGATAAGTATACCCGTGTCTACAGGGTCGGAAAGTCCCCATGGTTCATCGGCCATTACGTGAGAGCGATAAAGAAAGTCATAGAAATCCGTGCGATAGAGAAAGATGGCTATTATGAAAGCGTCTAATAGTTACCGCCCATTTCGCCCTTCCACAAATAAGATCCACTTATTAGTTGTGGAAGGGCGAAAGTAAAGATAAGTATATATATTGTCGTATTCCATGTCTCAAGCGGAGTTAATTCACTCATCTTTTCAATCGAGACCGCAAAGCTACCAAAAGCGCAACCGGAGTCGAAAACGACGTTTCAAGGACCCAAACCATGTGGAAATGATGCTTTCCAAAATCTTCGTCATCGCTCCAAAAAAAACCTCCAAGCAGTCAACGAGAAGCCGAAGACTATACACTCCGGGAACTACCGAAATTCGCCTCAGTTTCCAAAGTTTCGACCGTCGCATCGAAAACCGCTTCGAGTAGCCCCAAATCACCATAGCCGCAGCAGATGACTCCGCCGGAGGATGATGCTGTTGGCATAGCTAACGACGCGATCGTTCCAGGTTCGTATTTCGGGAAGCAAAAATTCCCGAAGTCGGAACTGGATGGAAGAAAAACATAGTGGATAAACAATCTCATAATCTTTTGAACTTAAAGCAACTACAGTGCGTCAGTGCGTCTTTGGACCCAAAATAGAGCGTGACCCAATTATCCCGAAGCCAAATATCGTCATCAATGGAGGAAGAGCGACAGTCTCCGCGTCATCTATCCTAATGTCCCTTGCGGTTGGCCCCGAGCTACTTGGAAATCCCCTCACCGGCGAGTGAGTGACTAACCTCCCAGCATAGCAGATAAAAATGGAGTCAAGTCCAAACGCTCCATCTGATCCCATCATTTTTATGAATCCGTCAATATGCTTAGGGATAATTCTGATAGGCCGGAGCCAGCGACGAATCAAGTTACACGAAAATATAGTTTACAAGGTTCTATATGTTTTTCTTTTACGTTTTCTTTGCATTTGAATATTAATTTAATTAACAGAAGATTATTTAAAATATAACCGAAGTCAGTTGAATCAATACCAATTAATCCCCAAATTATTGCTACATTTCACTACAATAACTATCGTTTTGTGATTAACAATAATTTGTTTTTTATCATAAATAATAAATAGAGTTAATCGTAACTGTAGATGAAGATTTAACTGACAAATAAATATATTTCACAGTCGGAAAATTAATGTGATAGAAAATTCTTGAATTTGATGTATAAAAATATAAAAGTTGTGTTTAAAAACGTTCACACTTGTCGCACCACTCTAGGTCATTAATCTTTGGAATTGGTCATATAGGAGTGACCGATCCAGCGTGGCCGCCATTTTGTTAAATATAAGTAGGTATGTCTCAAACTGTACATGTCAAAGCTGGTGATAGAAACCTCAAAATTAGAAAAACATTCTTATCTACATAATATTAACATTAGACCAGTGCTTAAGCCTTCAAAAATGGTAAACAGTGAAAAAAAATTATAGTAGGATGAAACCCATTGGAAAAGGAAGAGAATATAACAGAAATGAAAAGAAAAATAATTTATGGGCGATCTGAGGTCGGGAAGGGGAAGGGGGTGAGTTATTAAGGGTAAAAAAACGGTTTATCTTGATTTCCGGAAAAACTACAAGTCTTATGGAAAAAAGTTAAATGGCAAAGTTGTAGGTAATAAAAAGATCTACAACTTTTGTATTTACACTTTTTTCACATAAATTCAA